GCCATATTGCTTTCCAGAGAGGGTGGACCATTTTGTAGTACCACCAGCAATGCAAGAGTTAATATAACCTTTTATCTTGATGAATTTGTTTATACTTTATACACTTTTTTGTTGTTGTTGCTAAGTGCTATTGAGTCAGTTCCAGCTTATAGAGAGACCCTGTATAGTGTTTCCAAGGAGTGGCTGGTAAGTGCTTATCCTATGGTGCCACACCAAGACTCCTGTTTTATATATTCACTCTTCACTTAATGATTTTCTCATTAAAATTTTTACATTTGTGACAATAGTAAAAAATCCACTACACAACTACTTTGTGTATTAACAACATATAACTGGTAGTAATGGATGCCAAACTCCAAAGCAAGAATATTGATATTTGTGATGGTTAAGGTTAAGAGTCACCTTGGCTGGGCCATGATTCTCAGTGCATTGACAGTTATGCAATGATGTAGTAATCCTTTATTTTGTGACTTGATGTGGTCACCCTCTGTTTTCATATAAAGCTGATTTTCACATAACAACCAGGTCTTTGGAACCTAACCATATGGATAAAGACTGTAATCTCATTATTGAAAGGGATCTTAGAGATACTATTTAATCTGCTCATTTTATAGGTGAAGAAAGATGAGAGAGATTACATGGGTTCTTTAGTGCCATATAGTTAGTGGAAGAGCCAGAATTAAAGCTCACAACTCCTAGCACCTCATCCAACTCTCCATGATTCTACATAGACTCATTTTTTTTCTGTCCCAGCTGTTTTCCTTTTTATCTGAACACCCATTGAATATAACTGTTCCACAGGTGGTGGTAAAGTCTCAGAATTCTGAGTTTATACCCTTCATTTCTTGCCTCAGAGAGTGACTTTCTTCAGTCTTTAACTTTACTCTAACTTCAGTCTGTGCCTTAATCTATCTGGTACAGTAGCAGTTAGCTTCTCTGCGACTTAAATTTGTTTTCCATGAGCTCCCATCAGCTAAAATATATTCCCAAATTTCTAATGGCTCAGAGGATGAGTTGGGTTGGGGAGGGATCTTTCACATGGACAAATTTGATTTAGACTAGAAGGAAATGACTAGAGAAGGTGTCCCCACTTTCCTAGGTTCTGCTATCAAAATGTCTGGTGCTGGTACAGACTGTTGTACATAAGGAATGCTGCTAATTGAGTTTAACTGACTTTTACAACTCTGTCACTTCTGTACTCCTTTCTCTCAGAAGACTGTGGCCCTCCTGGGAATCCAGCTCATGGCTGTTTTGAGGGAAGTGATTTCAAGTCAGGATCTAATATTACTTATTATTGTGAAGAGAGGTAAGTGTATGCAGCCATTCAAATAGGAGATCTTGCCAATTGGCTAGGAGTCTTGTTTGGGGGAATGGCCCTATTTAGCTTCCTGATTTCCTACTACTTCAAGATCCTAAGCTCATTTTGGGTTTGACAGTTGTTTAGCCTATCACTAGCTCTCCCCAGTCCTTAGTAGGCTTATTGATACCCTTATTCATCATAGTCCATGTTTCACTTTTTTCTTTAGTTAAGATAACATTCATTTAAATTATGTAAAATTAACAATTTTTCATAAGAATCTCAGACCAGTAAACTTACAGAAAAAAAGAACTCACAGAAGTGAAGCAATAGTGTAACCACAAAAAGAGGTTTTTAGTCACTGGTTGGTTGCTATGCAAACCAGCCAACACTCAGATTTAGGACTCAGAGCAAAGAGCAAAGAGTAAACCTTTTGTTGTGTATCAATACACAGGAAGACAAGGGAACAGGGATCTCCCAAATCAACCTCTGTGAATGGAGGGCAGTTTGGGGACTTTAAAGGGAAGAAAATTAAGAATCACAGAACTTGTGACCAGGCATTGTTGTATTGTTCTTCTAGTCCATTCGTTAGGTGATAGAATCAGTAGTCTGGGTGGTCACATCCATCCTGAACATCAGGACTGTTTTAGCCATTCCTGTTTGCTGATTCTGTCTTTGTTTCAGGGTGAAGAGTTATCCCACTTTGTTTGAGCCACAAGTTCTGCTATGGAGATTGAAAAAGGAGTGATTAATTATGGAATGTAACTAGGAAGGGAGTTAAATTTTAACTATAGTCACTGTTTTAAGATGGCTGTTCAGGTTCTATTTTACTTTGTTGTTGTTGTTGTGTGCCGTGGAGTCGTTTCCAACTCATAGTGACCCTGTACTTTAGGCTAAGATAAAACCTTTTCAGTGCCCTCATTTCTCAATGCCTCCATTTCAACAGAAAGATCTAGAGAACAGATTTCTAAAGTATCCCAATTGTGCCTGGTGTGACTCAGGGGGAACCAGCAGGTCCTAAAATACAGAGTTCTGTATGGACGTGTGGCCGACAACCCTGTGGAATAAGAATTCTGAAGTGACCTTGATGAAACCCAGCAGTCCAGTTCTTTGTTGCATTCCACTTCCCACCCCATAACCCAGAAGATTGTTGCATATATTGCACTGACATTTTCAGAAGGGAATTTCCTCCTCTCTCACACCACCATATCAATTCTGAGTCAGTTTATTGTATTTCCTTTCATTCTGTGTATGTTCATTGCCTCCAATCTTTTGTTTGTGTGTACACACACAGTCTGAAATGGTACTTTGGATGAAAAGCTTTTTCATAAAATAAACTCATAAGCTATGATCAATAAATAAAAAAATAAATAAAAAAATTTGTCCAGGGTTTCAGACCAGCTCTTCCCAATCCATTCATGCCTAATTAGGCAAAACTGAGATGGAAGAGAATTTTCAAAATGTGGGTGTCTAGAATGATAACCAGAATAGAAAAATGATGAGTCAAAACTTTGGAACAGGAGACCCAGAAGAGGTGTAGTGAGCTCTTTCAAGAGCCTGATGAGAGAAACGGGATTATTGTCAGGTGTAGAGCAACACAAGGTCAAAGTGTTGTGGTTGATTGCCATCTTTGAGCAGGGCACCATTTATTCTCACTCTGCTATTCAAGAGATTTGGTTGCTATGCAATGTGCATGCTGCTCTTGTTTCTAAGAGGAAGATTAAGTTTCCAGCAGAGCATTGGTTTGTAATTTCCCCCACTACAGTTATCATTCCACATTTTGGACCCACATTTTGCAAATGTCGATCCATCCTAGTTTTGCTGTTTAACTTTCACGTATCTGCCGTGACTGATACAGGGAGAACTAATTTGAAACCTTGAGTTAGACTGTCTGATCACCCAGTAGTTTTACCTTGGGTTTTTGAAATTGTTAAGTCCTCAACTGTTGCTGTTGGTAAGTGCTGTCGAGTTGGTGCCAACTCATAGTGACCCTGTATAGGGTTTCTTAGGATTGGCTGGTGGATTTGAACTACTGACCTTGTGGTCCTGTGCTTATCCTATAGTGCCATACCAGGACACCCCAACTACTAACTTAAAATTTGGCAGCTCAAACCTAATTGGAGGCACTGTTTATATGTTTAAACATCACAGCCTTGAAACTCTTTGGTGTGTAGTGTCTCTTTGCCATACCTGGTACCACCATGAGCCAGACAGAATTGACCTGATGGCAGTTGGTTTGGTTTAGTTTAACCATCCATCATACAGATCACGTAGACTTTTCTTTCCCTTAGCTTAATCTTGTTAACTTAGATACCTATGATTTCATTAGAGTTTTTACATACTTCCAGTGGACTTTTATGTCTTTCTGATTAAAAGCAACATTGCTTCCTTTTAACCTGTTCACTGAGATTTATTTGAAAGATAATGCTAACTTTCTACTCCCTTTTAGAGCATAGAAGACAGATATGAGTACTTTCTGAGGTTACTGGAAATTTCTATACTTCTCCCTTCACCTTCCCCGCTCAAAAATCTTTACACAAACAGGATTATAATCTCTGAACCCTTATTCTATGGGTTGACTCATCACTCGGCTCTTGCCACCCTTGGAGAGTAGTTTTACTTTATAATTGCTTTGTACAACTGAGATAATTTAAGCATGCTTTAAGGCTCAAGGGCAAGTTTCTACCATAGTATGAAGTTGGGTTCTTACTTATAGCAACACTATATAGGGTTTCCGAGGCTGTAAATCTTTACAGGAGCAGAAATCCTCATCTTTCTCCCATGGAACTGCTGGTAGTTTCAAACTGCTGACCTTGCAGTTCCCAGCCCGATTTGTAACAACTACGATATCAGAAGTACAACTACATAAAATCGGGCTTCGTTGCCCCATTCAAAGGTGGGAAGGCTAAATGGTGTTGCATCCTAATTTCTGTTCAGGTACCGCTTGGTAGGCACCCAGTACCAGCAATGCATCAGTGGGGAATGGAGCAGTGTCCCTCCAATCTGTGAAGCAGTTCCACTGACTGTATTTGAAAAGGCCCTCGTAAGTAATGGAACCATGACTGTCTTGTTCCTAACTGTATCTCTAGCCTTGGCATTTTTCCTGGCACACACTCAATAAATATCTGTTTAATTTGGAATACTGCTTTTGAGTGGGCTGATTGGCTTTGATTTGACTGTAAAATGAAGCTCATGGACTAATAGAGTATAAGAATGTTTCCATGTGCCATCATCATCACCAATGCCAATCAGTCTCTGTTGGTCTGAAGTGTTTGTTTTGTGCCTTTATAGTGGCGCTGACTATGAACCAAAAGGTCAGCAGTACAAACCCACCAACTGCTGCTTGGAAACCCTATACAGGGTCGCTATGAGTCAGAACCAACTCAGTGGCACTTAACAACAGTAACAACAGACAGAACAAGTTACATAAACTCAGTGTCTGAGACTTGGAAGTTTTGTTGTGAAAAGTCTGTAAAATCCTTCTAGACTCCAAAAAATGTTGAATAGATCTATTTTCATTGGGAGTCTTCTTTGGATTTATATTTTATATTGAGGTATTATTTAAAACATATATATTTGAGCCAGAAAGTTAAAATGATTCATGATGTTGAAATTTCAAATCTCTACTTAAAGGCCCTTTTCTGAGCCCCCACTCAGAGATCTAACTGCTATGTATTTAGACTATGTGGTAGGGCTTCAAAAAATTTATGGAAAAGTGGAATTGAAAAATAATGGAATTTTCCATGAACCTTTTGAATGCCCCTCATACCGTGGTGTGCCATCAAGTCATATTAGATTCATAGTGACCCTGTATAGTGTTCGAAGACAGTAAATCTTTGCAGGAGCAGAAAGCCTCATTTTTCTCCTATGGAGTGATTGGTGGATTTAAATGGCTAACTTTGAGGTTAGCAGCCCAGAATATAGCCGAGTCTCAGTTAATACGTGTAACTTAAAATAAATAAATAAATAAATAAATTTCTTCCTTCAGCTTGCCTTTCAGGAGGATAAAGATCGTTGTCAAGCCATACAGAACTTTGTGCAAAGATTAAAGGAAAGTGGCCTTATAATGGAGGAGCTAAAATATTCTCTGGAGATAAGGAAAGCTGAGTTGGAAGCAAAAAGGTCCCTTTAACATTGTAGAAGAACAAACTGGGTAACAATATCACACCTATGAATAAACTTCCTTCTTGATTCTGAAACTGGTGTCAGATTGATCTCTTGTGCTCAAATACAATCTCATTTTAACTGAATGTATTTGTATAATGCATAGTGTGTGTGTGATGGTGTTATCATTATACTCAGACTATAGAAAGTCCAAATGTTGTGGTTGTCTGCTTAAGACCAGCATCAGCTACTTATTAATGGGGAGCGGAGGATTTTACTTTCTTTCTCTATGGAGAATGGGAAAGCTTAGGTCTCAGCTCAGTGTGTGACTCATATTTTAATGTGAGACACAAATTACAAGGTAAAAATTAACCAAAAATTATGAGGCACAAAAACTTCTAATTTGAAATAATAAAAGTTACACCGTTAAAATGACCCATTGTAACAGAAGTAAAGTTAGGAAACAAGGTCTTTCCTGGCTCACTCCTCTATCCTGTTTAGGAAACCAGATTTCTAAATCTTCTGCAGTACGTCTGATGGCCTCTTGCATGAAACCTAACCCTGGAGATCTGAAGTTATACAACACATGTGAGCACATTTCTCTTCCTCCTTCTTTTTTAGAGGGCAAAAATAAATAAGTAAATAATAAAGAAAGTATCCTAAGGCTTTCTGTAAATAGGTCATGCCTCAGAGAGGTGTGTGAGAAGGGTGGATAGGAGCCAGAATGGAGAACAACAAGGATAGACAGGAAGAATACTTTGAAACTTTCAAAAGAATACTTTTGAAAACTTTGGCATCTTACTAAAGGAGAAAAACGGAATTCCAGATTATGGCCAGATTGAGGGAGCATTTCAGGGTGGAAGACATGTTGAAAATGAGACAGGAAAAGAAGAAAAAAATCTCTCATTAGCTAGGAGTGAATTGTTGTTGTTGTTAAGTGCTGTGGAGTCAATTCCGACCCATAGCGACTCTGCATAGTGTTTCCAAGGAGCGGCTGGTGAGCTTGAACCACTGACCTTGCAGTTCAAACAACTTTGCAGTCTGACACATTAGCCCACAGCACCACACCAGGACTCGTAGGAGTGAATAAGGAGAAACAGTTTGAGATGGATAGAAACTACTATAGAATGATTTTTTAGTAAAGTAAGAGGCAAAGTCATCCACTGAGAATCAGATAGTTTGGGGAACTGAAGAGGAAAGTTTGGAAAAGTCATTCAGACACACAAAGAAAAGGACACCAGTAGCCTGGGAAATGGTATTTTGAAGACTCAGCTTTAATGGTGATATTTCCTTCAGCTTAGCCCTCAAGACTGGGATCCTCTCCTCTGCCCATTGTAGTGATCTGCCTTCTGTGTCTTTGTCTCTAATAATCTCTACTTACCATTTAATGTCCAGTCAAAATCACTCTGTCAAAATTTCTTTGATCATTTCAACTTTCAGTGGTTCAACTCTTCCCTTTCTGAAACCTTCATGGTAATTTCAGTAACTTCATATGCATGCGAAAGTTGGACAGTGAATAAGGAAGACCATAGAAGAATTGATGCATTTGAGTTATAGTGTCAGAGGAGAATATTGAAAGTAGCGTGGGCTGCCAAAAGACCAAACAGATGTGTGTTGGAAGAAGTACAGCCAGAGTGCTCCTTGGAAACCAGGCTGACCAGATTTTGTCTCTCATACTTTGGACATATTGTTAGGAGTGACTAGTCACTGGAGAAGGATATCTTGTTTGGTAAGATGGAAGGTCAGAGAAAGAAAGGAAGACCCCAGTGAGATGGATTAGCACTGTGGCAGCATCAATCGGCTCAAATGTAGCAACGATTGTGAGGTTGGCCCAATACTGGGCAGTGTTTCATTCTGTTGTACATAGGGTTGCTATGAGTTGGTACCAACTCAATAGCACCTAACAACAACAACAATTACACAAAAACTCAAGTTGTTCAGAAGAATTGTTTTTAATAGTAAAATGCTAAGAATATATCATTGGGCAAATCTGCTGTAAAAAGTGTTAAAAAGCAAAAATTTCACTTTGAAAGCTAAGGTTTGCCTGACCTAATTGGTAATTTGAATCTCCTCATATGCCTATGAGAGTTGAACAATGAATAATTGGCTCTGACTCATACAGATCCTGTATAGGGTTTCTGAGGAGCTGAGGTGGGCTGGAACTGTTGATCTTGTTAACATTGCTTATTCTACAGCACCACACCAAGAAAAATAAGGAAGATTAAAGAAGAATTGATGCATTTGAATTACAGTGTTTTCCAAAAATATTGAATACACCATGGACTGTCAGAAAATGTAAAAACTAGATCTTGGAAGAAAGTCCAGCCAGAATGTTCCTTAGAAGCAAGGATGATAAGGCTTTGTCATGTTATCAGGAGGGACCAGTTCCTACTAAAGGACATCATGCTTGGTAAAGTACAAAGTCAGCCAAAAAAAAAAAAAAAAGAGGACCCTCAAGGAGACAGATTTACCCAGTAACTCTAGCAATGAACTCAAACATGGTAACAACCGTGAGGATGGCAATATTTTGTTCTGTTGTACGTAGGGTTGCTATGAGTCGGAACTGACTCAGGAGCACCTAGCAACAGCAACCTAAAGTTTAATAGCTTAATTGGAAAATGTCAAGGTTCGAGGTACTTCTTAGATTTATGTGGTAACAAATACGATCAACCCTTCATTCCATGAATCTGAGCAGTATTCACCAATAGACCAGTGCCTGAGGTCATTTGGTGTCTGGTATGTAATAGCAGTGGTGGTGGTAAGTGTTGTTAGTTGTCATCGTTTCACCAGTTGTCATCTATTCACCAATAGACCAGTGCCTGAGGTCATTTGGTGTCTGGTATGTAATAGCAGTGGTGGTGGTAAGTGTTGTTAGTTTGTCAGCTATGATTTGGATGGCTCCAAATCATAGCTACCCAATGTTCAATAAAATCAGATGTTTGCCAGTCCTGCCACCTGCACAGTTGTTGGCATGCAAAAGTCCATTGCTGCAGTCACTGGGAATTTTAAGTGCCTTCCAACCTAGGGGATGAATCTTCTAGCACTATATCAAATCATACTGTGTTGCGATCCATAATGTTTTCACTGGCTAATTTTTGAAATGAGACTTTCAGACCTTTTTTCCTAGTCTTTCTAAGTCTGGACACTCCTCTAAAACCTTCCCATCATGGATGATCCTCTTGGTATTTGAAATATTAGTGGCATAGCTTACATCATGATAGCAACACTCAAGCCACTACAGTGTGAAACTGCACATGGGTGATGAGTGGTGATAGAGTTTACATTTAACAAGCACTAGGCGTCCTGGTGTGGCGCTGTAGGATAAGCATTGAACCAAAAAAGTTAGTTTGAACCACAGAGGTTCAAACCCACCAGCCTCTCCTCAGGAACACTATACAAGGTCACTATAAGTCAAAACAGACTTGATGATACTTAACAACAACAAGAAGTATGTTCCAGGCAACTCAGTACAAAGTAGGAACTCAATAGATGTTTGTTCAATTCCCGATGTTGTGCAGAATAGAGACCAGCACAGGGCAAGACCTAGGAAAGCTTGTTGAATTTACCATCTTGGAAAATGGTTCACTGGTTGAACACTGCAAATATCCCAGGATTCTAGGCTAGCTGCATGACATTTTGTACAACCTTCTTATGTTTACAGAAAGACAGAAAGAATTCTGGCATCAAATTCAAGTTATCTTTCACTTAGGGGAAATGGTTGGCAGAGGAGAGAATAAACTATTGCAACATGTCATCAAGAATGAGGGCTAGTGAAGAGGAAGGAGGAATTAGGTAAACACTGCTGTTTCATGTCTGCAGTTAATCATTCACTGAGCCAATAGGTAATGCCTATTCATTCGACCCAGCTATCTCAGGCCAGCCAACTGCAGGGCTGGAATTTCGGGACTTTTTGATAGAGCAATTACTAGCCAATTTCAGGGAATTCTGGTAAATTCTACTCTGGGGAGTGACTTGGATTATTAGAGATCTAGGCACTTTTCTTCCTTAAGAAACTATCTAAGGCACCTTAATAGAGTCTTCTACATCTTACTCATCAACCTGCAGGTCAGTGGATTACTAAATATTTGGGGTATCTTTGGGGAAAATCTGAGTTGGGGTTCTTTAAGGAATATAGGACTGAAAGGATAAGATAGAAAGTGTCAGCCTAAACTTTTTAGGAGTACCTGGTTTTGTAGTGGAAAGAGCATTTGGGTTGTGTCACTTGAAAAGTACTTTTAATCCTTTCTGATCTCAATTGCTTTCATCTTAAATGGGGAGGGGGTAATAATGGGTACTAATAAAATATACAGAAGCAGAGCTGACTATTGCAGTGCTCAGACACACAGAAGTGCAAGACCAGAGGGGAGCAAGTATACTTGTTATTATTGTATGTGAAAGACGTGGGTTTTTGTTTGTTAACCCTTTTCTGTCTCTCCACATAGGGGAGTTGAGGCAAAAAGTAGGACAGACTTCCCAAAGGGCTTCACCGAGGAATGGGATACAGAAAAACTGGTTTTAAATGCAAAATTACTACACTTTTCCTTGGAGATTTTATTAACCCTTCCACCTTTGACAGCAAAGACATTTGCATTTGATTATAAGGAGCACATTCAAGGACTCCATCCAGTCTCCAAAGCTGGAAGCCTCATCATCCTCAACTCCTGTCTTTTTCTCACTTTCCAAATTTGGCAATGTTGATGACCTTTCCTTCTTGAAACTGTCTGCTCCCTTGGTTCGTCCAGATAGTGATCCTCATTTTAATTCTTCAACCACTCCTTTCATTTGCTGACATGGTAGTGCAAGGAAAATGAAAAGTATAGTATACTGAAGAGACATCAAAGAAGGTTTTGCATTAAGCTTAGAGATACATCTTTATATAATACAAGCATAAAAATAAAGGAGTTGATAGATAAAAAAGGATGTTAAGAAGAATTTGGATTGTGCAAGCACGTTCATTCTGGAGCCTGCTAGTGATAAACAGAATGAAATGTAAAGAAGGAGATATTCCACCTGAAACTGGAGAAAAGT